CAAATCTTCAAACAAAATATTCTTGCTCTTCTCATCCTTGGTCGCTACCACGATATCATCCACATACACAAGGACAAGTATAATATCTTCTCCATCAATACGATAGTACAGACATGGCTCGGTCAACGATCTCTGGTAGCCACGAGTAAGAAGCCACTGGTTAATTTCAGAGTTCCACTCGCGCCCAGATTGCCTCAATCCATACAACGCTTTGGTCACCACATACATGTGGCCATTCACTTCACACGGAAATCCGTCAATCGACTTCACGTATTGCAGAATTCCGAGTAACGCATTTAGATATGCCGTATCAACATCTCCTCCATAGAGCTTCAGGTTCAGTGCCGCAGCTAATGCCACTAGAAGCCTGAAAGAAGACATTCGTGCCACCGGCGAGAACGTGTCAATGAAATCCACTCCTGGTCTCTGATAATTGCCAAGAGCAACTAGTCGAGCTTTAAAGCGATCACAAACCCCTGAAAATCCGACTTCACACTATAGACCCAGCGTGTCTTGATAGGCTTAGCATCCTTCGGAACATCCTCAAACGCAATCTCTTCCAGAACTCTACGTCGTTTCATTGCCGACATTTCTGCCAGTTCGGCTTCGCGCCAATAGTTACTGTATTTGCTTCGCATAGCTTCGCGGTGGTTGCGTGGAATCCGAACATCACTTGCTCGTATAGGACGTCCATTCTCATCCAGTACACGTGACGTATTCTGCACCGCGTTGACTACATAGGCATCCAAATACTTAGGCCGACGGCGCTCGTGATACTCACGTAGACCAGTTCGAGTTCGCTTCGGACCTTCACGTTCCGCACATATCTCCACACGACCCATTTCTGAGTTGGTTTCGTCTCGTTGACGCTTGCATACCAATTTCTCACACGTACTGGCAATGGTAACGTTGTCAGCATCCTCACTGAATTTCTCATCAACGTCAACCAGCATATCTCCGTCTTCATCGGCTACAAGATTCGCTTCATTCACAACCGATTCAGAAAGGTTTTCATCTGCATGCAGCTCTTCAGTGTCCGCTTCAGATGAACTCCCATCAGCATTAACGTCCAATGAACCACACACACTGACAGCAGACTCATTATCACTTGTCATGTCAGGTTTCGTGTATCCATACACTGTCGTAAGTTTCGACGCTGATCCTTCAGAATTCACACCGTCACTCTGTATAAGATCATCACTCTGGTTGTGGTATTGTTCACTCTGCAGTGTAGTCAGAGCACTAGGTAAACCCGCCGTCACCCCTTCAACATCCGGAACACACGGAGGTTCAGTCACTGTGTCTCCGATTCCTTCCAGTCCTGTCCAGTTTGCAGATGCTCTTGACGGTAATGACGCTTGTTGCGCCTCCCTAAGCTCCGTCATCACCTCATCTCGCTCTTCAACTCGTTACGCAGTATCGTCCTCGCCTTCCTCGAGGTCTCTGGTCGCTTTGAGCGTGACCTCGCTCATCATCGGAGCAGCGTTCGAGTTGCAGACTTCACTCAGATCCATAGTAGATTCGAGCGTTGAGTTTTCAGTACTCGATATCATGTTACTGCGCTTCGTAAAGTGCAACGACTCCAAGTCGTCGTCCTCCAAATCTGCTTTATGACGATCTCGGTACATCACATCTTCACTAATGCGAAGATCGGATACGAATTTAGCTGTACGATCATCAGGAAAGTAGACTTTACAACCCACGGTATCTTCGGCATAACCGAGCACAAAACCCAGTCGCGCGTTATCATGGTGCTTCTTCCGACCTGGTGTCACTGGTACATGCACATAAGCAAGTGAACCAAACTTGCGGATGTGATGGAGGTCGGGTTTGATCCCAAACATCATCTCATAGGGAATGCTCTGAGTTCCCTTATTGTAGGTTCTGTTCTTGATTTACACTGCGTTACGCAGCGCTTCAGGCCACAGACTAACAGGAAATCCAGCATCATGCATCATCGACTTTGTCATCTCCACGAGCGATTGATGCGTCCTCTCGCAAAGGTTCAGCTGTGAACTCTTTGGACCCACCTTCACATGCTCGATGCCGTGCACTCCGTACCAGTTATCCATTACTGTGTTAACGAATTCACCGCCTTTGTCTGTCAAGACTTGGTGTACTCTGTACTTCACTCGAATAGGGCCATCCTGCTGACGACCAGCTTGTCTTTCAGCCCAGAGCACATATTCTTTCATGTGCTGGTTCACTACCTCGCTTGACTTGCTAGTCAACATGTGAACTTTCACAAAGCGAGTGTACCCATCCATGAGCACAAGAACAGCCTCGAATCTAGTACCATTAGCTTTACTAGGGATCAGTAAGTCAGCGTATACCATTTGGTTCGGAGCGTTTGTGCTGCGATCCAGCTTCTTCCAGTGTCTTCGCTGCTTCTGCTTGCCAATATGACAGGCGTCACACGCTCCTAGCTCTCTCTGCCTTAGCATCATGCCACGAACGATGTTCTTGTCGACCATCGTCTCAAGTATTGTGGACACACATGCCCCAATCTCTCATGCCAAAGTTTCAAAGAAGCCACTCCTTCCGCAACTGTGAAATTGCACAACGGCCGATACTGTGGACTAATAAATCCATTTCTGGATGGATGGCTCACTTGAAATCCCCAAGTTCCATCCTCCGGTGTTGCAACAATTACAGTATCGTCGTGTTCATCTTTCACGCGAAAGCACCTCAATTGTCCATGGTAATCAAAGTCAAAACCTTGTTCCGTAGCTAATCCGACTGACAATAGGCCATGTGTAGCACCAGGAATGTAGAAGACGTCACTTAGGTACACTGCCTTTCGCTCGCCTTCAACTTCAGTTATTAGCTGCACAGTTCCTACTCCAGCCACTCGAGAAGCCAGCGCAGGCGTGACCCCAAGTACATGCTGGGATTGATTTAGATCCGGTGTAAACGCCACGTAATACCACGGGTTTCCCGTCACGTGCACGTTAGCAGCCGTATCGAAGTACCACCATCCACTACTTGTGTCTACTTCATGTTCATCATGTTCGAGGCCATCCTACCGACAGCTAACAGTGGCATCAGCTTCATTACCTCCTGCCTCTTTCTCCATGTTTGAACCCGCTTCATTCTCTTCGCTGTTCTCCGCCGGCAGTCTGGCGTCGATCAGTAGAGCGTCCAAAGCGGCCGTCATTTCTTCTGATACATGTACTTCTTCTGTATCTGAGCCCAATGACTCGTTGTGGCCCATACGAGTCACATTTGCACGTGCCTTCTTCTTCTGCTCGCTTCCAGCAGCTCTGGCCCCGTCTTGGTTCTTCATCTTCTGCGGACACTCCGAAATAAGGTGTTCAGTACTGTCGCAAACAAAGCACTTTTTCACCTTCTTCTTTGTGTCTTTAAACTTCTCAGGTTTTTCACGATTTTGTCCATTGCCGTCGGCCTTCTGCTTCTCAACACTACCGCTTTTCTGGCTGCGTTTCCCGCTCTTAGCTTGAAAAACTCTCTGTCGAGAGTCAGCAACCCGAATAAGCTCTCGAGTCCGCTCTGGGGTGGTGTATGTGTCAGCACAATTGTACCGAACACAACTCTTCAAACTCTCAAACTCATACGTATGCGGTAGACTGTTCAACATTAAATCCACCATCGCGGTGTCGTCGAATTGATAGTTAAGAGACAGCAACTCCGTCCGCAAGTTGAACATCGTACTCAGGTGCTTGTTGACGTCTCCGCCCGAGGACAGCTTGAGCATATCAAGCTCGTGTCTAATGCTCTCAGCTCTATGAGCCATAGTAGTTCGGTTCTCCCGGCTCTCATAGATTACGCAGAGTGCCTTCCACATGTCGGTTCCGGTGGATTTGTCGCGAATCTAGTGGAAGATTTCTGCTGGCAGTGACATCCCGATGAGCTGCATGATGGTCAGCTGATGATCATCAAACTCTTCCTCAGCCTCCGACGTAAAGAGCATCATCTTCGTGAGATTCCCATTCACGATATCCGTGAGTTTCTTCTTCTTGAAGACTATCTCCATCGCCTATTTGTACTGCTGCCAATCCTTCCCATCCCAGTTCTTTGGGACACCGTCGTTCGTGTACTTTAATGGTCCTGACATCTTAGATCACGTTAGTGAACAAAATCCGAAAGTCTTTTGGGCTCAGAACCCTCTTGGATAATGCACTTGATCCGTATGCCCTAGGAACACTTTCACCAGTCCACTGAAAGGTAAAAGAAAGTATGATTAGATCGTTAGCTTCACTACTCCTCAGCTCAACGTTCTTCTGCGACCATGCAGTCGCTTTTCATGCATTGGCCTGGCATCATTTGTCTTCACTATACTGCACAGCACCTTTGTGCTCAACTCAGTTGTGCCAGGTCCCGTAGTTCGACCATCCGTCTTGTACTTCACGTTGACTCTGGTCCTAGATATGAATCTGGATTCCAACATTGGATATTTAATCTCTTTAGGCTCAGTCTTATATCGTCCCAAAAGAGGGATGGACCAATCAGCGATCTAGTTTGCGGGATATTGGGATGACCTGTAGGGTTGACACCCCTTCTCGTCCCACTGGGACGTTGTGTGGCACGGTCTTGGGATACACAAATCCCGCTCATCTCAAATCCAATCGTCTATATTCCACAGCAGCACACACCGCCGACACGAGCCACCTGTCTATAACACCGGGTTGGAAGTCCTGCGGATTCTCGAAATTGCAGGCATCCCATCCCGCTATTGTGGGCAGATATAAGACCGAGCCTTAATCCTCCTAAACCTCGATTTTTTTTAATTAATCAGCCAAGTTCGGTTTCAGGGTTAAGTTCGTTGTTGCTTTAATTAAGTTTGGTTTTGGGTGCGGGAATGTGGAGCGAATCTCTTATCGTCGTAGCTCTTCTGATAAGACAAACGTGCACCACGTGTGCGCTGGTAGTAGCGCTTCTGCGCTGCATTAATGCGCTCCTTGATAGCTTGCTATTGCTTAGGCGAGTATACCATCTTGTATATCACCATATTAACTTGATATTCATCGGGATCAATAAAAAACAATTTATCAAGTGGTCATTGTCTTATGGCTAATTTAGGCGGGGACTGCCTTCATGACGGGCATGACTTAGGCACTAGTCCTCTCCAAGCCAAAAGTGTGCAACAAACATTCAGTTGTCCCCACCGTCCACGTCCAGAGCTGCTACAAACTGACCCACATTCGCAGAAGCTCCAGGAGCTTTGCTGGCAGCACCAGTCGCCGTCGTCGTTAATTGCTTCCGATACGAAGTAGCAATTTTACTTGGAACCACGAATGTAAAGTAGAAGTGGTCCGTGTCCACGTCAGCTTTCTGTAACCATTTAAGAAGTTTGTTCAATGGCGCAGCTTTGATTCCATGGGCCGCGTTCAGGGTCATCTGTAACCCGTAACATTTGCTGTGTCCATCCCAGATGAATGCATCCAGCGCTCCAAACGATTTTGATGTTGGCCGGTAGTACGTCCAGCTCTTAGCTAGTTTTAGTTTGTCAAGAGCAGCAAAGCGTACTGTTTCCATCTCTTTCGGAATGGTCACAGCATCTAGAGTCGCTGAGCACAGCGAGCGGAAGTGTAGCGTTCTCTGCATGTGCACGCTAAACCACTTGTGGCAGAGCAGCTCGTACACCTTGCCGCGTATGACAGCCGTACTTCCCGACTCGTCAACATCGTGGACCACAGCGAACTCCGATACTCTAGCTAGGCTATCCCCGTGCACTTTGTCAATAACCGCCTCAGCGATGTGCATGGACACAAAATCCAAATAAAAGTTCGCAAGAAAATCAGCTTGGGTGGGAACCATTTCAAGGACGCAGTGACTATAGTCCTTTTCCCTCACAGCATCGTTTTTTCGGCAATAGGAGATAACGTCCAGTGCACTGAATGAGGCGATCGCTGACTTTATTTTAGCCTCAGTTCGACCCATTGCCTGCGAGAAGACGAAACGAGGAATTCCACCAAACCCATCGTACCGCGATAACAACTCGCCTTCAGCAAGTTTCAATTCAGCTGGAAGCAACGAGTTGTAATCTTCTAGCTCCTCCAAGGTCCACGTCGGCATGATAAACGTTAGCCCGTCCACTTTTGAGAAATTATCAATGCCGTCGACACCCGGAGAAGCAAACAAAATCGAAACTCCTCTCCAGCCTGTAAGTTCCGATGATGTTGCCTCGACAAGTCGAATCACATAGGGTTTGCCCTCGAGCGCACGAACATCTGTTTTGTTCAACTCGACAAATTCCGTGCTTGCTGCGTCGTATTTGAGATATTTCTTCTTATGGTTCACCACCAACTCGTACGGGGGGAGCCGCTTGACATCCTCTCGCTCACGTAGTATGAGTTGAAAGATGCAATACAGGAAGAACCGACTCTTCCCAATCCCCGGATTCCCCGTGACAACCACGTTGGAATCCTTGCCTGGTTTACTTTTTTCGTGTGGCTCGCTCGCACTAGTAGGAACGAACTCAAAGCAAGATTTCGCGTACTGCACCAACTGGGCAAAGATCACAACATACGCATCTCTCTCCAAGATCGTTTTGAATTCCGCCTTTGGATGCTCCAGCAGCGAAGGGAAGTCTTTCATATTGAAGAATCTCTTCTCCTTGTTCACGTCGTCGCCCACTCTGCGCTTCTTCAGTGGGTGGAAGAACTCGGCAAACCACCCATTCGACGGATGGCGTTTCCCTCCCTCCGGAACCACCACCAGCACGTTCACAGGGCCCCTCCCTTCTACTTCATCGTCTTCATCCACTCCACCGACATTCACATCCGACAACCCCACACGTCGTAGCCTCGCTCGCGCCGCTCCCAGCAGCTTCAGACTAGTCGTAGCAATCACATCCTTTTTCACTTCTTCTTCAGTCAGCCACGGACCGCGACCCTCGTCCTTTTTCGCCAGGAAGAGCTGCAGGTTCTTGGCGTCGCATGTGATCGTCGATGCGTTCTTCTCCTTGATCGCGTCCTTCAAGTGCCCCACAGACTTGTTCTCGTCAATGTCCACAGGGAACGCGCTCCCAGCCACACCAACGACGACACAGTACAAAGTAACCATAGTTCCTCGAGCCGCTGATTCTGGAATGAGCACGTGGGAAAAGAAGGTGAGGGGGTGGATAATTTTGCACCTGTTCTCTGGATTTTATCCAGAGTCCCGAGATAATCCAGCGATTTCGTTTACCCTGTCATAACAGTTTCGGATCGTTTGAGTGCCCATTTCCTTTTCACAATTTTTTTATTGTAGGCTGGACAAAATATTAATACCTTGCTAAACTTGTATGATGATACTTTATTGTAACCTGGCCAGGAAATATTTATTCAAGCTGCCCTGATTGGGCAATATTTGCCGACCTACTGGATCCGTCGCACAATAACACCGTTCCTCGCCCAAACATTTATGTCGAGCACGAAGCACCGATTGGACGTGAGGTAAACATTTATGTCGAGCACGAAGCGCACCGATTGGATGCAAGCAACCAGGCAAACTGCGTCGATGATTAAATATTTACATCTAACTTCGCCAACATATCGTATATACTGTCAATCGGGCACATCAACTAAGTAAGAGCTCTGCTATGTCTTTTCACACCTTTCAAAGTCGAGACGATAGTATTAATATTTTTTATGTAGGATACTCAGACCGCATCTTGTAAAAGCTCTGCGATAATAATTTCCACACACTTTTCAAAGTAGAGACGATAATATTATTATTACTTGTATTTGTATTTGTTATTGTGCATTTCAATGCTTTTGTCCTTTTCACTTAGCCTGGTACTCGATTTATAATAAATCGAGGTCGTTTTATTAATTTGATGTCGATAAAAAATACTAATCGATCTAGCTTGACTGGCTGATAAATCGAGCTACGATAGTCAAATCGACCGCTCTGAATCGATCAGCCACCAAATCTACATCGATATCCTGTAAATCGACCCTTTTTGCCGCTTTCAATTGGTAATTCGATCACAGATATAACAAACCAGTGCTTGCCTCTTCCCATCTCATTTTACGCGTGGTTTTATGCCCCTGCCTTGCTCGATCTAGGCTATAAAACGGATGGACATTCTATCTGCAAAGTACAATCGTAGTTTTATTAAAGGGGGCTCCACGACCTTTGTACCCAGGTACCGCACTGCGCATGGTACCTGTCACGGGGTCACACAGCATCTTGCCATAGAGGAAGTTAGCTTCCGAGAGTATACAAACTCTCAGTGAGCGGCAGTTCACAGGTCCCCTTTTATCGAAATGGAGCGAAGTGACCAAGTTAAGGTAGAATGTAAACTGAGTCTATTTATAGGTAGCCTAAGCTTGGGTTAAATATAAACTATAAGTCACCCATAGGAAAGCAATGTCATCAGCCAATGGTTGGCTTTGGACGACCTTGGTACCTTGTACCAAATATCCCGAAGTATGACGTGTCACACTTCATGTAACTAGGGGTACACTTAGGGCTACGTACCCCGTTACATCCTCCCCCCACTTAGGTTCGGTTTACCGGTTCGTCACAAACTTTATTCTCAAAGTCGAAAAACATCGACTTGGCCGCGCGAGCGCGGCGGAGGCTCACTTCACAGTTAGAGCCTCGAGCAGCAGTCTGTGCGCTCCTCTTCTTGGTCTCCACTTCCCTCCAAGGCTGCTGCCGGAAAGGCGCAAGCCAAGAGCACTAAGCCTCACGGCAAAGGCTCGGCACTTCAGGGGGCTACTCAGATGTCCTCCGAGGCGATCGACTCATCGGGTGACGTGGCTGTGGGCAAGTGAACAAGCAAGAGCCGCAGCCCGTCGCCCTCGGCCTCTCCAGACAATTGTCCGAACCCTCGGCTCGCTGAATGCGGGTTGGACTCTGGCAGTGAGGACGAAGCTGGGTCCGAGAGCACGCATGATGCTGCTGTGGGTTCTACGGGAGGGCACAGCCCAGTGCCCATCGAGCACAAAGACGAAAGCGTGCAGTCGCTCGCTAGTGATCACGGGGATCACTTCCACAGGACGTCTGTGCGTCCTGAGAGTCCGGCCGTCAAGGCTAAGGGCACTCCCAAAGCTGGTGGCGATGGGGAAGAGAAACCTCGCAAACGTCTCTCGCTTGCCGAGGGTCTTGCACGTGCTAAGGCCGCTAAAGCCGAAAGCGCCAAGCCATCTAAGAAGCGTACGGTTTCGAAGTCTCCACTCCGCGAGGAGAAGGAGACTCGGTACTCCCAACGAGGCCTCTTCGATTCCTTGGATGAGGCGGTCGAGAAGGAGGAGGAAGAGGGTGCTATTCCTGAACCCCGGGAGATCATTAATGACCTCGACCAGCAGCACGAAGACTTCCAGGCTGCCTAGCGTACGCGTGGGGGTTCGGTGGTGACACCCATCAGCTAGGGAGCTGTCATCAACTCAAGAGGGTATTGGCCTCCCGAGGAAAGCTCTGAGGCTGACCTCTTCCTGGAGCTTCTCGTCGCTCCTCGTGGCCTTGTGGGCGACCACACCTCTAGGGGTGTTTATGAGCGTAACCTTGTTCAAAAGGAGCAGTTGTTTGTCGACAACTTGGAGGCGGCTCGGTGTTTGCTTCTCGCACCACACCGTACCTTTCTCAAGGACTTCACTACGTGTCGTAACAAGCCCGAGAACCGGGGTGGGATCTACCTTCTTTGGGGCTACCCATGGGTTCTTCCCGAGGACTGTTCCAACTGGAGTTCTTGTGAGGATATGTTCTGGGCTTAGGTGGAGTCTGTCAAGTACTCACCCACGAAGTTACCGGAGCTCCATGAAGATCAGCTGCTGTCCCGCATCCTGGACCAGCGTGATCTTCGTGTTCGGTTTCCCCACATGGTCAGCAGGCGCATGCTACCAAGGGACATTCTGAAGCGTGCGGCTTCTACCGCTCACGATGAGCGCGGGTACGGAGTGTCGTCAACGTCCATACTCCGTTCGGGCAAGTAGCCCCGGATTACTTATGAAGCTACCGCCGCTTCTGTTCTTAGATTGCGACAGACTTCGGGCAGTCAAGCAGAAGCCGTCAATCGGCTCCCACGAGTTCTCGGAAGGAGGCAAAACCCCTCCACTTCACGGGGAGCTGTCGCTTACCGCGATGCCGTTGCTCCTGGAGAATTTGCTCCATGTGGTATATGACAACTTTCATCGATCCACCAGGGGCTAAGGCCGTCTCTACCTTCTACGGACGCATTACGAACGCTATGCGTACGGACCCGTTAGCGAGTCTTCATAGGGAGGTGGATAGCGTCTCGGGGCTTGCCTGCACCCCGAATCGACGATATGACAACTTTCATCGATCCGTCGGGGGCGTCGGCCCAAATATGGCTCTGGAGCGTCGGGGCTAAGGTCGTATCTACCTTCTACGGACGCATTACGAACGCTATGCGGACGGGGCCGTTAGCGCCAGTGTTCGTGACAGCTGCTGCTGCCTGCGGAACTATGTTACCCGCTTGTGGATCTTAGTTACCCACTTGGCCAGCGCCTCCTCTGGGCGCTGCCACCATCAAAGCATCCTCGGAGTCGTCATATACGTCGACAAAACCCAAGCATCTGCCGGATGCTTTGGTACCCAGGCAGTACTTGCGGGCGCCCCGGGTTCTGACGCAGGTGGGAACATGACTCACCAACGCTCTGTCGGACATCGCAGGGCGGCTGGCCCCGATTGCCTTGCCTCGCCAGTCGATCCAGGGCTCGTGCTCCTCACGCCAGGCCATGCCCAGGATCATATCATATGGATCCATGTCGAGAACAGTGAACTGTTCGAGGCTGTCAAGGTCTTCAGACTTGACGGCCAGATCCACTTGGACGTTGGGGACAGTGACGACCTTCCCGTCGGCCAGTCGTACTGACACCGTCCCGTTGCCCTTGCTTTCTCTCAAAGCATCCGACAGCTTGTTGCTATTACGAGCAACCGTCTGGCGGCGTGCAAAATTCTTCGACGCCCCAGAATCGATCAAGATTCTAATGGGATGATCGTATCCCCGTACACATCCGTGTACTACGAGCAGCCCGCCGCTGCTCTTCGCCGATTCGAGAGTGCGAAGCCTCTCAGGAGCTAAGTCCCCGTGGTACGCACCACCCGCGCACCCATCACGAAGACTTAGTTCTTCCCCAGTAGGGCGCCCCGCCCCTACTGGTTTCCGGCGTTCCACTGTCCCCGGGATCCTGGCTTCTGCCAGCGACCCTTGAGGACGGGCTTGGGGAAAGACCGTCTGCGGAGTCTTTCCGCGGGACAGTCGCGCTTGAAGTGGCCCATCTTCCCGCAGCCGAAGCAGTGGATGTCACGCTGTTCGGCGGCCCCGCGTTCCATGGGAACTGGTCCGTTGGGGCTCGTTCGACCGGGAGTCGACAAGGAACTCCCAGGCCACGCTGAGGCCGGCGTACGTGCCTAGCGATGACTGTACCCTTCTTGGAGAGCCACGTGAATCGCCTCTTCAAGGGTGTTTGACTGCACCCGGAACGGCTGAGTGCGTGCGGGGCCCACTCGAAGGCCGTCCATGAACACAGTCATCTTGATGTATTTGTTGAGTGGGTTTCCCACTAGGGACGCCGTGAGCTCCCGTATCTCTTGCACGTACTCGTGCAGCTCACGCCTCCCTTGTTTGTACGAGAGGAAGCGCGAACGCTGGCGGTACTCGTATTTGCCGGGAGGAACGCGGCTCGGAGCTGACCACACAGCTGAGCCCAGGATGTGAAACATCCAGGGGATGCTGCCTCCCGTGTGTACACCCAACTCTTAGCACGGCCGCTAAGGCTGGAGAGTGTAAAAGCAACACGAAGTTGCTCGGTCGAGATCAGAGCCGCGTGCATCGCGAGCTCTACTTCTCGGGCCCAGAAGTGAAGGTCATCGCCTTCCTTCCCTTCATAAGGCCTAACCTTCAGCCGTATTGGCTTCGGGTGAGGCGTATTTGCTTCCGCCACCGGAGCCTGCAGGTTCTCCCGCACATGCACGATGAGCCCCTGCTCGTCCGCGTCAAACGCATTGACGCGCTCGAGCTGCTCGATTGGTGTTGACACCACCAGGCTCTGCAGGGCCTCCATCCCGAAGATGCCTGGCATCTTCCGAACCGACTCGAACTGAGAGCCGTTCAGATGGGAGAAGTCGT